GATGTTTGCTTTTCCCCAGTCTTTGGATGCTTCCCTCACTTGCCAGAATTCAGTAAAGACTGTATAGAGTAGCCTTACAATCACATCTGCCAGATCCCTTAACACTTACGATTGCATTTCATCAGGGTTCATGGAGTTAGGAATGCCCAGTTTGCTCAAGTAGTTTCTGCCTGATTCTCCCATTTCCTTCAGGAGAGGGACCACATTTTCCCTAGTCTTTCTTTTTGTCACTGATGTATCTGTAGATTTTCTTGTTCTCTTGAATGTCCATGGACAGATTCATTTCTATCTGGGCTTTTGTTTTCCTAACTTGGTCCCAGGCTTCTTGGACAGTTTCTGTGTGTTCCTCCCATCCTATATGTCCTCTCTTCCACCCTCAGTATGTTTTCTTTTTGTGTTTGGTTCTGTCCAGGAACTTTTTGTTCATCCATACAGGCCTCCTGGTGCTTTTACCTGACCTCCTCTTGGTTGGGATTAATTGCTCCTGAGATTAGAGGATGTAATCCTTTAATACCAACCAACTTCCTCGAACCTTTCTTCCCCCCAGGGCTCTATCCCATTGTACTATATGAAGCAGATCACTTATGAGGCCATAGTGTTCTCCTGAAGTCCAGGGTGGTAGGCTTGCCATGCACTCACCTCATTGCCCTAAAGATCTTGAATTCCACTGTTTTGTGATAACTGCAGACAAGACTTCATAGGCGAGAACAAAGTGTAGCACAGAACCTCTCCTTGGCTTCTTTGTTACTTGAAGAAGAAAGTTGTCATCATCAGTGCATTCCATGAATCTCCTAGAGAGCTCATACGCTCCTGTGTTGATATTCCAACAGATATGTTTGGAGCAACCCATTTATTTATGAAGTAGATTTGTTGTGTTCCTCTTTTCACATCTTTCTGTTTATGCTTATAGCCCGTTTAAAGGGATTTATGAGCTGAAACCCACTTGATATGAACTCCAGCACCTTGTAGAGCATTTATTTTTCAGAATTTTCCTAGGAAGTTGAGAGTGATGGAGAGGTATAGCTGGGCTTCATGGATCTGATGCACCTCTACTTCTGTCAGTTTTATGATCTTTTAATTTTATTGATTCTGGTGAACCTACACTTATCTTCCTTCATTAGCAGCAACTCAGAGGAGTTTATCCCTTGCAGCAAGCATATTCACTGACAGAAAAAAAGAAAAAAAGAAGAGAGACACCATGTAGTAACATCTTCATTTTGCCATACTGTCAAGATAGGTCTCACATTTATTAGTTTTACACATATTAAAGTAGGCTATTTCATAGCCTTAAAAGGGAAATTGCATTTATACAGTGATGAAGAAACTTTATTTCCTTGAATTGCTACTGGAACTCTATGGTAAAAGCATGTACTTAGAGTTATAGCAACCTGGAGTTGCTAAGTCCTTTTCATCTTTCAGTTACACTGCTTTTTTAGAGATAGCCAGAAGCTGTGTGTATTTGGGATAACTTAATCTTTGTATCAGTCAGAAAGTAAAACTGGATTAAGAACATTTGTTTGCCTCCATGAGGAAAAACATCAACAACCTAAGGGCAGTTGTCTTTTTCCATCTTTTGGCTAACGATCTGGAGCTGGAAAGAATATTCCGTAAACTCTGGTTCTGAACCATACATTTTTCTACAGCCATTAAAATTCTAACACTAGGAAAGAAATACCTCCCCTTAGCTGTTCAGTTAAGCAGTTCTTCTGAGGAGAAATAGAACTCATGAGGAAATTCATCAAAGAATATGCTGTAGAATTCTGCATGGTTGGAAAGTGTTTAACTTTTGTATTACTCCTAACTTTTTCTCCCTTACTCTGCTTCCCTCATCTAATTTTTGTTGAGAGAGGCTTATCCCATCAAGTCATGCTCAAGCCCACTGTCATGGCATAGGAAATGGTGAACTTCAAAATACATTAATAGTTACTTTATCAGATGTTTAGATTACTAGATTTTCTGTCAATGCTGCTACTGTTAAAGAAGTTTGTGTTTTGTACTAAAACTTCAAGTGACATTTTTCTTTTTTCTTCTTTTGGTACTTCTTTATACTTTGTTTTAGAACTCAGCAACTTTCAGATTTTAGCATGATGTGGACTTGGTCATCTCAGTTTGATCTGTATTATTCAGGTGATTAAACTTTTAAAAGACTATACCATTTTTTTGCTACTCTTTCTGTTTTTTCATTCTTCTGTACTTTTCCCATGATCATTAAAGCTCAGATCACTGTTCTGTTCTGCTGTGTCTGCTCTGTTTCTTACTGCTTAAAGTTTTTGATATGACGTGAGAGAATGTCAAGATGAGTGAGAAAGTAATCTGTTGAGGTTTTTCTCCTCCTATTCTTTCCATTAAGAATATAACTGATTTTTTTTTCTTTTAATACTTGAATGCATTGTGCTTGAAATTGTGTATCTGGCAATCAAGGCAGCTGTAGTGAGTTTTAACTTTAGCTTGAAATATTTTGATGTTTTGATTTATTCTGAATATCCTTAAAAGTGCATTGTGGTTTTTGACCAACTACCAACTACCAAGAAAGCAAATGCATTATTTTCTGCATGTTAGTTTTACTGGCTTGAAGAACAGAAATTTGTTTCCCCCGTGTGTTTCAGTTTTTTGGTTCTATTTTTCCTATCTTTCAAAACAAATCACGAGTGTAAGACCTGTCCCTCTCCTTGTTCTTTCCTCTCTAGCCATTTTTCCTCACTTACACCTATACTCTATAGAATCATAGAATTACTCGTGTTGGAAAAGACCTCAAAGATCATCAAGTCCAACCGCAACCTGACCATTCTACTGTAACAACCCTCCCCTAAATCATGTCCCTGAGCACCACATCCAAATGGTTTTTAAACACACCCAGAGATGGTGACCCAACCACCTCCCTGAGGAGTCTATTCCAGTGTTTAACAACCCTTTCTGTAAAGAAGTTTTTCCTGATATCCAACGCAAGCCTTCCCTGGTGCAACTTGAGGACATTTCTCTTCATCCTGTCACCAGCGAGATCATCCCCGCTCTCACTGCAATCACCTGTCAGATATTTGAAGAGAGCAATAAGATCTCCCCTCACTGAAGTCTTGTGTTTTGCTGACTTGTCCTTTACTAGATGTATTGATTGTTTTTGCTTCCTTATAGTAACCTTTACCAATTGTCTGATTTAAGTTTTCGTTGGTTGGTTTTGGTTTTTATTTATTTATTTTTGATTATTCTGTCAAGATCTTTTCCTTGCTATATTCTACTTGCATTTTCTTACAGGACTTAATGAACTTGAATGACTGCTAAATCTATGACTTATCAAATCTTTATCTTTTTAAACACTATAGGTATTCTTTGGTTTGATAGATCTTCTATTTTTACCTGTTACGTATTTCATTGATTTTTTTTTTTTTTTCAGCATTTGAAAAGCTCATTTGAAAGAAACATTGAATCACAATGTGTTCCTGTGTCACCTTTTCTTCTGCATCATCTTCTCCTTTGGCATCTTACTATCATGTCTTACTCCATTCCCCTGCAAAGCTGCCTAGTCTACCTGAACTTTCCAATTATTTGCTGTTACATTACTGGCTACAATTAGCCATCTGAATTCAACATGGTCTCTTACTTTGATCAAGTGTCTCCATATACCATCCACTAGAATTTGTTATGCAGTGTCAAAATTATTAAAAATGTTGCTGTTTTGTGTTTACACTCAGGTAATATGTAGAGAGCTGGAGATATATTTCTGTTGCGGAAAAAAAAGTGGAAATGGGAGATGGCTTGGAATAGTTCATAATTTAATGAGTGTCTACTTCTACTAAATTGTCTTTAGACCCTGTAATAAACAAGTAACATCTTACAGATTTATTTATTCATTTATTTATTAGCAATAACAAAGACTCTCTTCATTCATATGTAACAACCCTTTACATTCAAGTCACATTAAAATTTGAGGATTTTTTTTTCAGCTCTGCTTTCCCTCCTGCATCTGAGACCAACAAAACATCTCACCCTTATGGACATCTGAAATAAAATCAGTCTTAGTAGCAGATCACTTGCAAGAATTGCTAAAAAATTTGATGAAATTTTAGAGTGAATATAAAATCAGGTTAAGCAAACATTTCCTTTATTTTAAGAGCTAATTAATTGATTTCAAACAAACAAACAAATAAAAAAGTTATCCAACCTTAGACGTGGTAGAAGAATTACAAACAAACAAATAAATAAAAAGTAATGTTGCATAAAAAAAGAATTGTATACCATAATATATGTAACATTTTCTGCACATAAAATGATTTGTGTTCAATTATCATTCACATCAAAACAATCCTAAATTCCAAAGAAAATGTGGGCAGTATTAAAAAAGCTTATCAACAGTACTCATTATAATATTACGTCTGAGCTGTTCACATGGCAGAATCTGACAAGAAGATTTATGATTTGAATTAAAAAGCAATAGACAGAGTTCAAGGTAAAACAAGTACAAAAGAAACATGCTATGTCAGTTAAATTTCTTCAGGAAATACAGAGGCATTTTAGACGTTCATGGAACAAAGCATACATATGTAGATATATATTAACATAGTTGCAGAACTATATAGGGGCAGGTATTACTTGTATTGACAAAGTTCACAATGTCAAGACTTGAATTTATTCTGAAAAAATCTGAAAGTCACTTCAAGAAAAAAATAAATTAACACTCATATATCTCTAGAAACAAAACTAAATGGAAAAGTTACTTCTGAAAATGCTTGGTTTTCCCTTTTCTCCAAATTATTGGAATTCTCTTCCCATTCTGCCTTTGTCTCATGTGAAAATAAAATAAAAGAAAATTGTATGCATCAGGAGTTTAACCACTTCTGTATTTACTAGAAAGATACTTTGTTTTCTGTGCAAGTCAACCACATTTTAATGACAAAGGCATGGCTCTTGATATATAAATAAAGACAAGTTATTGTCCTTGTAGACTTTTTTTTTTTTTTCTCTTCAGGATATGAAGATCCTTACTGCTGTATTTTATTTTATTCCAGCTATTTATGAGCTCTCTTGTGAAGCATACAAACACTTGGGCAAAACTTCAAATTACTACTGGATAGATCCAGATGGAAGTGGAGCACTGGGACCTTTGAAAGTTTACTGCAACATGACAGGTAACTGTGCTGTACTTGTTAATTCACATTTATTTACTTATTTATTTATTTATTAGCATCAAGAAAAGTAGGATTTTTCATGATTCTTGTTACTAGTCAAAAGAAAAATAATTGCTAAGAAATTTTTGTGGGAGAGGTTAGGGTCATCAAAAATGTAGACATCATCCATTATAGTCTGATAAAGGCAGTAACTTCTTCATTTCATAAGCTTTTTGAACCAAAGCTATTAATTTTAATATCTTCAGTGCTGCACCATTTAAAATATGCGTAGATATATGTAACCATTTATCAATGCTACTGTTTTTGTAAACTGTATGTTTTTGTATTTTTTTTACATTTTATTTTAGCAAAGTTTTTGATACTGTTTCTCACAGTACCCTACTGGATAAAAATGTCCAGCATGTGGCCAGATACATAATATGGTCGGTGAACTCTGACTGTAAAGGTCAGCCTATAAAGGCAGTACAGTTAATGGAGTTCCACCAGGATGGCGGCCAGTATTAATGGGTTTCCACAGGGCTTCATTTTAGCACCAGCCTTTTTAATGTTTTCTGTAATGGCTTGGATAGAGGACTTGAAGGTACACTTAGTAAGTTTATGGATGACACTGAATTGCTGACCCCCACAAAACTGGAGAGGCTTTGCAGAGATGTCTTGTCAAATTGGAGAGCTGAACAATTCCAAAATACATGAAGTTTGAAAAGGGCAAGTGCAGAATTCTGCACACGGGATGAGGGAACTCTATGTACAGGCAGAGGGATGAGCTCCATGGAAACTACATGGGGTCCTGGTTGATGGAAGTTGAAGATGAATGGACCGTGTCCGCCAAAAGGGCCAATCATACTCCATGTTGCATCAGGCCCATCACTACCAGCCAACTGAGGGAACGGATTTTTCCACTATGCTCTGCATGGGTGCAGTCTTACCTCAAGCACTGCATGCAGGTTTGGACAACTTGATATACACACCTAAAACTGTTACAGAACACCTAAAGGAGAACTATGAAGATGGTGAAAGATTTAGAACACAATGTAAATATCTTGGTTTGTTCATTCTAGAGAAGAGGAGACTGATAGCCTCATGCAGCTTACAGCTTTCTCATGAGGGAAGCAGAGGAGCAGGAACTGAGCTCTTCTCTCTGATGGCACGAGAGAATGACACGGAGCTGCATCAAGGGAGGGTCAGACTGGGTGTTAGGAAAAGGTTCCCCACCAGGAGTATGGTCCAGCACTAGAACAGGCTGCCTGGGGCAGCAATCATTGCACCAAACCTGCTGGAGTTCAAGAAGAATTTGGATAATGCTATGAGACACAGAGTTTTATCTTGTGTGGTCCTGTGTGCAGCAAGGGTTTGGACTCAGTAATTCTTGTAGATCTCTTCCAGCTTGGTATATTATATGATTCTATGAAACCAGTTCAGTAATATCTGTGGTTCATCCAAAGTTAACTTTCTCAGAATGTCATATTACTTTTTTTTCTGTCATACTTTTTCACATTACTTTTCTTTTTCTGTTATTGACTTTCCACACCTACAGGAGAAACAAAATATGAGTTTTCTTGTATGTCTCTTTTTCATGTATTTACCTTGTGTTAGAATGATTTATCTTGTGTCATTTCCGAGACTGTAGTATAAAACTTCACCAAATCATTTAAGTTTCTGTTTTGTTGTGTGAGTCTTGGATTTTGTTTTGTTTGTCAATTTGTTTTTGATTGTTTTTGTTAGTTTGGTGTGTGTTTTTGTTTTGTTTTTTGTTGGTTTGTTGCTTTTTTTTCTGCTTTTAATACTGGTTTTGTGTGGACAATTTCTCATTTGGGCATTCTCATTTGAGCTCAGTTGACATCTCAGTTGACATGCTGAGGCAGGAAGTTGTGATAATGAAAAATGAAAATGGGGTAATTTTTTTGCTCTGGGAGTATATTATTTATTTGTTCTGTTAATGCATGGCAATTATCTCAGCACTTCCACTGATTTCAAATTTAGGGCTCCTGATAAAACAGATCTGTCCCCTGACTTTCCCCAAATGTCAGCACAATAAGCTTGAATTTTAATCTATTTGCATTGGAAATCTGTCATACTGGTGAGACTTGGACTTCAATATATGCAGCTTGAATATGAAGGTGCTATTAGAGGTTGAAACAGTAACTTTGCTTTTCTAGGGGTCACATCTTATATGCATCTCTTTTCAGAAACCTGTATCACTTTGGGTTTGTGGGTGTTTTATTCTTAATCCAGTTTGACCAGGGGAGAGAGATTGTCACCAGCAGGGGGAGATACTTGAAGAGGGATGCAAGGCATGTACAAAAGACTCCAGAGCAAGTGCCTGTCGGAGACCAGATATTACCATTGTTTCATATTACCATTAATTCATATGTTCGAATAATAAATGTGTATGTAAGAAAGGAATCTGACCTAAGCTCTGTGACTGGCATAAATTGTTCTGTGTCTGGAGAAATAGGTCAGACAATTTGTACTGAGACAGATGTGTAAAGGCAGTCTTTCAGATAAGTAGATCCTGACCCTCTTAGAGCTTTTAAAATCACAACTAGCACTTTGAACTGTATTGGCAACTAATCAGACAGGCACTGGAAGGAGCAACACCAAGGACTGCTGATATATTATAGTGATTTCTATCAAAAATATACTATAAATATATATATAAAATATTCTATAAATTCTGTGTTAAGCACTAGCTGTGGCTTTTGACTACTCTTCAAGAATAATTTTTTAAAGTGAAAATAAACTGTGGTTGTGGCATCAGACACAAAAAAAAAAAGTGTACATATCCAGTACTGTGTTGTTGCTTATATATTTTAAATGTAAGCAAACAGTAGAATATATAAATAGCTTCTGCAAAACTGAGGGGAAAAAGAAAATATAAACAAATAAGAAATTGAAAGTAATCATTTCGTTTTCCTAAAGTTTCTCACGTAGAATCATAGAATCATAGAATTGCTCAGGTTGGAAAAGACCTCAAAGATCCAGTCCAACCACAACCTAACCTAACAACCCTCCACTAAGTCATGTCACTGAGCACCACATCCAAATGGTTTTAAAACACATCCAGGGATGGTGACTCAACCACCTCCCTGGGCAACCCATTGCAGTGTTAAACAACCCTTTCTGGAAAGAAGTGTTTCCTGATATCCAATCTAAACTCACTCTGGTACAACTTGAGGCCATTTCCCCTCATCCTGTCACCTGTCACCAGTGAGAAGAGACCCACCCTCACTGCAATCACTTGTCAGATATTTGAAGAGAGCAGAACAGAACACTTATCAGTTATTTATTTATACTGGTCTTGAAGATATTATGCCTCTGTGGTGTGGCTTTAATCTCACTTCATTATCCAAATAGCTGCAAGCATAGTGACTCCAGTTGAGTGGTACTTGCCCTACCTCCTTTCTAATACAGACATTTTCCTAAGGCTGTATATCTTCAAATACTTCAGCACAAGGATATAAACCTGTTGGAGCAGATACAGAGGAGAACCACAGAAATAATCAGAGGGATGGAGAATGTCTCCTATGAAAAAGGCTGAAGGACTGGGCATTTTAACTTGGAGAAGATAAGTTTCCAGGGAGGACTTCATGTAACTTTTAAGAAAAACAGAAAGAGATTTTTTTCAAGGGCTTAAAGCGATAGGACAATCATTGCAAATGATTCATTAGGTTCAGGTGGACATTTCTAATATAAAGAAATATTTTCCTATGTTTTCTTTCCCCTTAAGATTTTGTCCTTAAGCAACACTTCAAATAGTGTCTTTTCAGTGTGACAATATTCAGAGCTGGTTGTCTCTAACTACTTGTACTTTCTTTTCTGACAGTAGGACTAGGAAGTAAACAACTTACCCTCTGCTGGTATTTCTTCTTCTGTCATTTTGTTCAGTACTGACATCAACGTAACTAAAGTAACACAGAGCTGATTAAACGAAACAATTCTAAAAATCCTAACCAGTGTTAGGGTGCAGTGCTGCACACTGATGCATAATTCTCTAAATTAGTTTACCTGACAGGGCAGGTTAACTGTGCTTTCACTATTGCTGTTAAAACTTTTGCAATTCTTTCTCCTTTTTGTTTTCTCTGGTAGATGCTTCTTAAGAAGAAATGATTCAATAATGAATAAGCTGCAGCAGACATCCATCTTGATCTCTATTTACATAGAGAGGGAAAGTACTTGTTGTGGAGATCTCCTGCACAGGCAAGAGTTGTGCAGAATGGCTCTCTGTTCCAAGGACTAACAAGTCAAGTTAATGCAGATTACAGAAGAGTGTGAATTTACAGTGTTACAGAAAGTTTATGTGAACACTGTCTTTAAACACTCCTAATAAATTTCAGGATTATATATGTGCTTACAATTTATCACTTAGAATCATTCTTGGTGCTTGTCTACAAAAGAAAACAAGCATGTAGTGATTATAATGGGAATTTACAGTAGATATGATATTTTTCCCCTGGTTCCAGATTGGAGACTTGAGTACAGTTCTTAGGGCTAGTATGCTGTAAATTCACCTCTATCTCTGTTGCTCATGGCAGGAGACAGGTAGAACTGAACGTTTTTTTCATTTGTTTCTTCTGAATGTTGGATTTTTCTTATCTTAAAACCATTTGCTATATTAGTGAGATGAGAGAAATTGAATTTCTATCAACAGTAACTTTACTGCAAAAACAGATACTTCAAAATCTCAAGTGAGATTGTCAAAATACTCAATGCAATGATCATTTTTCATTTTTATAAAACAACTTTAACTCCTTTTAACTCTATAGCTGAAATAGTTTCAAACTACTACATGTATTTTGAAAGTTATATATATGTGTCTATGTGTAAATATATACATTGTACATACACATACAAATGGGGAAATATCTATTAAAAAATATTAGGGAGGAGGGAGAAAAAGATATTTTATGCTCTAATTTTTTTCCACATCATCTGTGTAATTCAGATCTTCTGTCTACAACAGTGTTGCAAAGAATGTTTAGTTTAACGACACAGCTAGTGACACAGCTAGTGTTGTGGTACCAAACCACACAATTCAAAAGAAATTGAAACACCAAGTATGTTCCTATCAAAAAATAAAATTGGAGATTTCACTTTTTTATGGGTTGTCCTGTACAGTTTTTGTGTGATTTGTGGCCTAGCATATTGTACAGCACATTGGAGTATTCTAATTGAAGTGACAAATGAAAGGATGATGTTAAAAATCATGATGTCTAGTAAAGAGACAGCTTTCTCCAGGCTGACAAGTGGGAAGAAAAGACAATCATGAATACTGAATGCAGTTGTCAAGCAGTAGTTACTAATCCAAAAGGGCCTGCAGGAGTCAATTCTTAATGAATATGAAGCACCCAAAAGTAGAGAAGGTGGAAATAATTTTTATTGCATCTTCAAATAATTTCACCTTGACAGAAATGCTTGTGTTTAATAGTCCAGTCTCAAGCAGAATTCGCTATGAATCACAGTTTCTCAAGCTTTTCCAAGAGCAGGTCATCTTAAGAATAAGGTGCACAAGACCGGAGAGACACAACAGTTTATATTTCCTACACCCTGGCATGAATTCTCCCCCATTTCTTCATTAGTTGAGTTCTCCAGGGTTCACAGTCTACCCAACAATTCTAATTCCCTTAGCAGATGTTCCACTCCTGTTTACTGCATGGTTAACCCCATCCTATTCTCCAGTTCTTGCTAGTCTTTACCTACTGTGGTATGCTGGGATAACTTTTCGTAGTCAACCTTTCCCTCTGTTTATCATTCAAACCATGAAACTGGTTTGTACCAGTACATGTCCTCATGTTACTCAAAAATGCAGTTCTTCTATTTGCAAGTAGGAATTCATCTTGTGTCTGAGTTCCATGGCACCTGTTTGGACCTCTTTGGAGTCATAACATCTTATTGTTATGCAAAAATAACATTTCTTTCCCTTCAACCTTGCCTTTGTCATAAATATTGTTTTACACTTATAAGTAGTTTCTGGCTACTCATCTTTTTGTTCATTCTGAAAGCTAAACATGCACCACTAGTTTTTTAAACTACAGTTACAGATGTGAGAATTACCAGCAATTTAGTACTGTTCGTCATCATAGATCACTTATCCTAACTCCTCTTCCTTGCAAGTTCATGCAAAATGCACGTATCAGAGAGGAAGAGACTTGGATATAACTATAGTCAACTAGAAACATTTTGGGTAAGGAGCAAGTAGCCAAAACTGTGTTAGTGATCAAGACAGTCATCTAGAAGTAATGCAGTCAGCTTGAGGATTGGATCTTCTAGAGTGACAATTCTAGAGGTAGAACATATTAATATTTTGTCAAAGGCCAAGACTAATTTTAATTCAGCTACATTGTATGTCTTTTACTAATTCTTGTCTATTCTTTTTCCTTTCTAAATTTCAGAGGATAAAGTATGGACAACTGTGTATCATGATCTGCAAATGCAGACATCTGTTGGAGGCAACAGTCTAGAAAAAGTATCTGTGCTGCAGCTAAATTACAGTGCAACGATGGACCAGATTTCTGCCATTACCAGTAGTGCTGAATACTGTGAGCAGTTTATCTCATATTCTTGCAAGATGTCCCGGCTGCTGAACACACCAGGTAGGTGGAGAATGGGTTAAATGAAGTCCTAAACACCTTTATCTGGACAGAATATCAAGTTCTGCATTTAGACCTCTCCACTCAGTGAAAATATTTCTTTGTTCTCCTTCACTGAGCTAAATAATTGAAAATCCACATGGAACTATTTTCTTAGGAAAGTCTTCCTTCATACTTGCTACTAAAATGAATTTTGTTGCTTTACAGATCTGTGTGTTTTTCAGTCAGATTTGTTGCTCCATAAACAGGTTTTGGTAAATGGGATAGCTATGGAAGTTAAACCATTAAAGGCACTGAAAAAATTATTTGAATTTTATCCCAGTTATTCACATGTCAGTCTTCATATGCTACAGTTCCCAAAGGCATTTCTGTATAACCCAGTGGAATTTCCCATTGATATATCTGTAATGGTTTCTTAAACCAAGGGTATATGGGGGTGATCCGATGTCTTACACAACATAGAAGTACTGGCATGGTCAGTATATGGTTGTATGAGAAACGCTATGTGCTATTAACTTTGAGTAAATTGACTGCAAGTTTCTCATTTTAGTTTGTAGCTTTACTGATAGAGATCTTGCAATAACGTATGTGCCTGCTTACAAAATCTTACCTGTAACTGATAGATGCAAAAGTACTAGTTGCAGAATCAGTAAGAGCATATAAAGAAGGAATTAATTTTTAGGAACTCTTTCAATTTGTACCTAGTACTGTATCTATGTTCTAATTATGCATGATAGCATTTGACGTTAAATAATTCTGTAATGGAACTTAATGAAGACTGCCTTATACGTGGAAATATGGTGCATTTCTGTGATGGTGAAATGAATTCATTTTGATAGAAAGAGTTAAATACGTTTCAGATTAAGCTAATGGCTGGGTGCTTACAGTGTTGTACTTCACTTCATGACACTTCCCCTCATGAATTTATTTTGGTATTTTTTCTATTGGTGGCACAGATTAGGATTCATTTGGCACGCGTTTGCATGTTATCACTATTTTCTAAGTGTTGTGTTAGTTAATAGGTAATTAATGCTTGCTACTGTCTCCTTCTTCCCTTCTGTTTCTGAACTAGAAATACTTCTGCTACTTTGTTGCTATTATTTTCCTTAATTTAGCATAGTGAAAAGTTTATGCAAAGTAAGAAGTTTTTTTTCTTTCTTGACCTTTAATTTAAAAGGGATTCTGAGTTTTGTGTATAGCTAGAGGTAACATGATTAGATTCTGCTGATGGATATAAGCTCACTGTTTGCACGTGCTTCAGAAGTGTAGCATATGCATATTTATCTGAGTAAGTCCTTTCAAATTGAATGTACTTAGGGACTTGACCTGGATATAATGTACACAGAGTTTACACAGAGTACAGTGTTAGATTCTACTTACATGAATGTGTACGACTATTATTTCAGTACTAAATTGTACTTGTTAGCATATGCTTATATTGCAGTAAAATAAATACATATTGTAATTGCATGTGTTTGCTTCTGCTTGTGTTTGCTTCTGCTTCCAGATTTAAAGTAATTAAGAAATACACAGTTCCGTAGGAACTGAAAAGAAAAAAAAAAAAAAAAAAAAAAAAAAGAAGGATTTTTCAATTCTAAATATTTACACTTTTAACCTCAGGAATGTTTCAGGTGCAATTTGCAGATGTCTCTTTCACCATGTTTTTACCTTTTTGCATGGAAAGAGTAATTACCTTATAAAATCTTTCTAAGCTAGCTTCTCTGACTGAAAACTGAGCTTCTGGAGATATTCTTCAAAGTGTTTCTTTTCTCTGTTTTTTCTTTTTTAACTGTGAGTGGGAGAAAGAAGCAGGAAATGAAAGTAATTCTAACTTAGGTAGTAACAAGGAATCACATTACAGTGTTTGCTTAACATCTGTAACTGTACACATCGCACAGCAGTGGTTTGCATGTTAGCAGAGGAGGACAATTCATTTTATTTCTTACCTATGCAGTGTTGGCCACTGTCTATGATGTCTAGGGTAAGGAGAAAAAACCTCACAACTTTCTCTGCTTCTTCTCTCTGTCTTTCTTTATAAATATATACATATATGGTGTTGTTTTGTTTTGTTTTGTTTTTTTCCTGGAGTGTTACCTTATTTTGCTAGAGATATTATGGCAGCCTGTTCATCTCTGAGCACAATTCCAAGTACTTATGTAGCTTCTTCCACCACAGATCTTTCTATATAAATCATTCCAGTATCATACCCACAGAAATAAATGAAAATAAAAAGAAATGTTATATTCCTCAGAAAGTGGAAAGTCCTGATTGTGTTAAGGCCAGTGATGAAACCTCTACAAACTTCATGGGATCAGGACACCATTTGTGGCTCTTATCAAAAAACTTTTTTCAGTTCAGAACACTTCCTATATATCTTTCATACATTTCGATAGCCAATTAGAATAGACTTGTCTTTTTGTTTTAAATTTCTTCAAGGAGAACAGAGAAAATTGAGGAAACAGAAGAGCAGCTCAGTATTTTCACATTTTATCATCATCACTTCACAAGTTGATTCCTTCTCAGGAAGAAACTGCTCAGCTAACATAATTCAAACACAGTCAAGATTTAAGTAGCTTATGATCTATTCATGACAAGTCATTAAGTAGCCATTAGTGAACTGTATCTTCTCCTGCCACAGTTGTGTGTTTTCTTACAAGGTTGTTGAGGTATATACATGCAGCGTCTGACACACGGACTCAGATGCAAATGATCCAAATCGCTTATTACAACCCTAAGTTATCAGTGATAAGGGACCTTCCCAATGCCCTGTGGCCATATTCCAGACATTGACCACTGGCTGCTCCTTGAGCATTGGGGAGGCCCCAAAGTGAAGATCCACACGAGTTGTATCCGTATGATCACAGTTAAAAAATTCAGCACAAGCAAAGCCTTACATGATCTTCCTTGTGGTGAGGAGACATCCTGTATTCCCCCTTCTTTATTAAGAATGGATTTCAATGTTAGATGAGTATGCTCAATGATACCTTGTCCACTGGGAGAGTGAGGAATGCCTGTAATATGTCTAACCCCCCATTCTTGGAGGAAAGTTTGAGTGGCCTTAGAAGTAGATGAAGGTCTGTTATCTGTTTTTGTAGTATGTGGGATCCCCACAGCAACGTAAGCAGATAACCAGTGTTTACAGGCTTCACGACTGCGTTCACCTGTATGTGCAGTGGCAAATATGTAGGAAGAATGAATATCTATTGTTACATGTACAAATCTTAGATGCCCAAATTCAGGAACATGAGTGACATCTGTCAGCCTCAGTTCAAGAGGTGCTGTGCCATGGGCATTTGTCCCAATTTGAGGCAAAGAGCCAATTGCTTTTGTAAGGCTTTCCTATTCTGATGAAAAAATTGATGGGAGAGTTGTCCTTGCTGAAATAATTGAGGGTAGCAAAGGCTTGATCAGCCTTACGGTTGCCCTCAGTTAAAGGAACAGGCAACATAATGTGTGATCGAATATGCATAATGAAATAAGGAAGAGTATGGTGAGAGACATAATGTAAAACTCAGTTAAGCTGTGCAAACAAAGCAGGGTTGTTAACTTCCTTGAGAAAAGATCCTTCAATCCTCTGAATGATACCTGTAGCATACAAAGAGTCAGTTATTATATTAAGCTTTTGTTCTGAAAAAATTTGAAAAGCTTGAGCTACCACAGTGAGTTCTACGGTTTGAGGTGATCCACTGACAACACGTACGTCTGACTGCAGCAGTCGCACGCCAGAGAACCACTGCTCGATGTGTCTTGCTGGAGCCATCTGTAAAGACAGTAACAGCATTAGGTATTGCAACATATGAAAGTAGAATATTAGTAGTAAGGGACAGATCACTCAAATTATGCAGTAATTGATGGTTAGGGAGATGGGTGGAGATTTGTCCAGTATAGTCTGCCATAGCAGTTTGTAAAGCGAGCAACTGTGCAAGCATCCAATCTACATCTTTTTTAGTAGCAGGTACGTAGATGCAAGCAGGGTCAAGAGCTCGTAAAATTTGCAGATTATGTCGACCTCGCTGTATTAGCATCACAAACATTTCCACTCGTGGTGTAACCATTTTTGAAAGTGTATGCAGTAAGAACATCCATTCAAGGATAATAAGAGGATCTTTTCTTGAGGATCCCACTTGACATAACAAACTGTATGCCTGATGTGAATTTGATATTATAACAGATATAGGAAGTGATAAAGAAACACGATATCTATATCAATGTTGCAATGATGTTATTACAGAGTCCACGCACTGTAGCGCTTCTGGTGTGAATTGTCTTTTAGAGGTTAGATCTGGGTCTCCTTTGAGTAGCTGGAAGAGAGGGTGCAGCTCTTGAGTAGTAATACCCAAAAATGGTCACAGCCAATTGATGGTCCCTAATAATTTTTGCAGATCATTTAATGTCTGTACGTGAGGTACTATTTTGAGGATTTGCAGTTGAATGGTGTGAGATGTGATTTTCCATCCTAAATATTTCCGTGGAGAACTAAGCTGTGCCTTTTCTTCTGCTATTTGTAATCAGAACCACAAGATGTTCTTTCTTCTTCTAGAGTTATCCTTGGTTCTCATGCTGTTTATCTTGCTCCACAGCTGCTGCTTTGAACAATTTTTCTTGTATTCCCACATATACAATTGCACTAAAATAAGTTTTGCTGCTAATTGTAGCTTAAATAGTTTGGTGTTTTGGTTTGTTTTTTTTTCTTATAGTGGAAACAGCAGCAAAAAGTCTGCATTTGAGGAAAGCCTTCACATGAATTAATATGCATGTTCTGTTGGAGAGGGGTGTTGGCTGCAGGCACAGAGGTCAAAGAATTCTGATTACCAGGTGTTTGAGAGTAATGTGTGGAAAGCAGTCTGTACAAACTAAAACTTGATTCTTTTATTGTTTATTCTTCTATTCTATTTGATTTTGAGTCTCCATTTCTTCCAATTTATGTATTTTTTTCTTAATCATGCTCTTTCATACAAGCAAAATGACACATACATGCTACAGAAAAAATCATTAACAGTCGT